ATATCACAGTGTGTACAAAGGTTGTCCCCCCAAGCCCCCCCCCCCCCCAGGGCTGGAAGCTCCAATGTGAAAGCATCACTCTTCAAGGCACCAACTTGTGTGTCTTCTCTGCGTGCCCTTGGGGGGAAGCGCACGGTCCTGCAGGGAAACCGAAACCCCGGGGTGCCTCTCCAGCCTGCCCTGGAGTTTCCGAGAATTCCGGCCGATAGCAAACGTCCTCGAACTCAGCCCATTCCTTTGGGTGAACGAGGCGTCTGTATCTCCGCCCACTGCGCTTGGATTTTATATTTTAAAATATTTATATCCCACTTCCGATCCACGAGATGGTAGAGCCAGGTTGCAGCCAGTCCCTCCCTCTTGGAGCTCTGGGCCGAGGGCTATGCTGGGGGACGGGGGGGTTGTGCCAGGCCCAGCTTGAGCTCGCGGCAGAGAGCCGGGATCTTTGTGGGGCCACAGTTCCCCCACCGTGAGCCCTCGCCCGCCCCTGGCCAGGCATGGCCCCCTTGCCTTTCCTCCTCTTTTAAGATGGCTTCTGTCGGCTGGCTTCTTGCTGCGTGGCCTGTGGCTGAGGGGGGTGCTGCTGAGCAGAGGCCGTGTCTGCCGTGAGTCCTGGCAGGCATCGGGTGTGTGTGTGTGGGGGGGGAGTGGGGAGTGGTCCGAGCCCCCTGCTGACCCCTGGCCTGAGGCCCTCTGCTGGCCCTGCTGTGATGGTCCCTTCCTTCCCCTGGGTGCAGGTGGCCAAGGCCACGGCAGTGGCGGATGAGGCCCTGGGCAACGTCCGGACAGTGCGAGCGTTTGCCATGGAGGACAGAGAGATGCAGTGAGTATCGCGGAGGGGGTTTCTCAGCACTTCCCTCGCTGGACTGGATGTCCAGGGCAGTGCTCCCTCTAAGCTGAGTGAGTGTGAGCTAGCTCCCAGTTTTTTAGCCTCCAGCTCACACATTTTTGCCTTAGCTCAGGAAGGATGGCTCCAGAGCAAACTGATTGATGCCATAGCCAAATGGCTGGCTCACAACTTCAACACCAGGAGCTCACAAAGTAGAATTTTTGCTCACATGACTCCACAGCGTAGAGGGAGCGTTGGTCCAGGGTCACCTGGTCTAGCAAATTCTGGGCACAAGACGTTCTCCCTTTTGCTCTCATGGCGTCTCCCGCCCGGGGTTGTTGGCGGTCTGCCTCGTGCACCATCCACCCCTCCGGCTGTGCCTTTGCCCGGCTTGCGGCCAGCTACCCCATCCTTTTCCTGGTCACTGTGATGTGTGCACGGTTCTCCCTGGTCAGCCACAGCCACCGGTCAGCTCTCCCCCTTTCTCCCCTCCCCCCCCCCGACCAGGCTGTACTCGGCGGAGGTGGATCGCTCCGGCCGCCTCAACATGAACCTGGGGCTGGGCATCGCGGTCTTCCAGGGGCTCTCCAACCTGGCGCTGAACTGTGAGTGGAAGCCGGGCTTGGGCTGCTCTCCCTGCGACGTGGGGCTCCGCTCCCCTGCCTCGAGAGGCGGCGGCTGCTGCTGTACACCAGCCCTGGGCAGTGGCAACTCTTCCTGCGGGCTCAAAGTCCCGGGCTGCTGTGAGGCCGTTGCACGGAGAAGCTGCTGGAGCTGGGAGGGGGCTGGGGCGGGAGCCGTGGGAGGGGGAGACAGGTTGTGGGGGAGGAGGGCGCGTTCCTCTCTGGGCCCGGACAGAGGCCCTGTGGGGCAGTGCCACGGGTGCCTTCCAGGGTTCCCTCTAAGCTGAGCCAGTGTGAGCAGAGCTAGCTCAGTTTTTTAGCCTCCAGCTCACACATTTTTTTGTCTCAGCTCAGGAAGGAGGGCTCCAGACTAGCAAACTACTTTATGCAGCAGCCAAATTGCTTGCTCACAACTTGAATAAGAACATAAGAACATAAGAGATGCCAATGTTGGATCAGGCCAAAGGCCCATCCAGTCCAACACTCTTCTGTGTCACACAGCGGCCAGAAGTACCAGTGCCTAGTAACAAATAAATATGCACTGCAAAAACCTTTTAGCAAGCTAATGTGTTCTATTTATGGTCATCATTTAGTAAAGTGCATCGTGTGTCATTATTTCATCCTAGTCAGGTATAAATATTCATTACATTCAATAAGCAGTAACATTCAGTCCATACAGATTGTTAACTACCAGACAATTTTACATCAGTGCTTTAAAAGTCAAGCCCCAACGGGAGTTTCTAGAATTATAAGCCCGCTTCTCCTTGCATGAAGTCTTGTATGGATGCTTTTTGCCGGTCCTACAAAAGACACATTGTGCAGCTAACATTCATGGACGGAGTGCTCCTGTCATTCTTTAATGCCAGCAGCTCACCCAGTAGAATCTTTGCTCACAAGAGTCCACAGCTTAGAGGGAACATTGGTGCCTTCTCCCCCTCTGGCGGTGGGGGGTGTGGGTGTGTCAGGGGGACTCCCCGGTTGGAGCCGGGCTCCTGGGCCCCTCCTCTCCCCCCTGGCACGCCCACCAGAGCTCTGCTCTTCCGGCTCTGCCTCCCAATTGCACTCGGCAGCTGCTGGGGGCAAGGGGGCACCAGGGAAGCCATTTATTCTGGAATCCTCCCCTCGGACAGAGACCCGCTTCCAGGCCCCAAGGCCGAAAGGCTCCAGTGCGGCTGGATTCTCTCTCTCCCCCCCCCCCACCGGATTGCTTCCGTCTCCCCCA